GTTTTGATAAAAACAAAACAAAAATCTTAGGAAAAACTTTTCACCCAAGATTAGAACTGGTTTACTAATTTTCTTAATCTAGGTCGTGTTGACCAATGATGACATTTTGTCCTTAAAACCACACAAAGAGTATGGATTTTGTGTGCTTCACAAAAATGGGCAAAGACCTGCATGTACTTTCCTTATGGTGCTTGCTATTTTAATATTTAGGACTGAAGTATGTAACGAAGGCCTTTATTGCTGTTGTTTTGGAAACAAAACATCGCAAGGCCGTTATTACAGAAGGAATATATTCAAAGATACGTTTCGTATATTATTCCATGAAAACGGTTGGACTTGGGCAAAGGGTGCTCCCTGACATCAAGGGAACAAACAGTTTAGATGCTTCAGGACTTGAAAACTTGAAGAATTTGGAAATGGCAGTTATAGTTTTCTTCTCAGTGGCAGAAATTAATATCTGAAACTAATCTTCAACAGCATAGTCTTTTCTAAAGACTGGACCTTAAATCATTCAGTGCTTTCAGGGGTTTAACCTCTGAAGGATCTGGGCAGTCTGCCTTACTGAGAAGTTGGGCTATTGATTTCTAAGGGGTGCATCACAGCAGAGCTGGATGTCGGTGTGTTTTTCTAAAAGTTTGTCTATGTGTTTTCTAATTACTGAAGTGATGGGATTTATGAGTTTTAGGTTTTTTAAGATGTTTCATAGGAAAAGCTTGCATTTTGGCCTTAATTTCTAAATCTTTCTTTTCTCTGATTTACTGTAATTCCTTATGAATTTCTTATCTTTCTTGACAAAAAAGTTAACTCATGAAATAGCTTTTTTTTTCATTGTTCATTTTCTTACAGAATTCATTTACAACTGTGATGAAAAGGTGATCTGGAACTCTCACACTGTCATTTTGAGAAAACATTGGAAAGCTGAGGAATGCCTCACCTCTTGCTGTTTTCATTTTTAAATGGAATAACAAGATACTCTTAGCCCAGCTGTTTTTTCACTGGTACCAACTGTCAGGCCTACAATGACTTCTTTGTAAAAATACCTCCTTAATCATGTACACTCTGAATATTTGTTCTTCCCGTGTTTTTTAGAACCAGCATTGAACAGCAAATCTTCATTATGTACCTCAGTTCTTCAAAAATACAGGTGAAGAATATGTGCATGTTTTAACCCAAGCTACAGTTTTAGAAGAAAACCGGAAAACATATGTGCATAATTAAATAATTTTTTTGGGGGTGGGGGTGGGGGGAGGATCAAGCTTACAGAATAACTTCAGGAGACCAAAGGGGCAAACATAGAGGAAAGAAACTGGAGTCTTTTTTTTGGGTAGGACATACCTCAAGAATCATCAAAATACACTGGAGCAGAGAAAGTCCAAGCTTATATCCTACACTGCCAGTCACGCTGCTGAGCACTTTATCATGAGCCCTTTGTTGAACCATGCAAATGGTGGGTTGAAAAGAAAGATTTTTTTGGTGAGTTTTTCTTTAATGAACACCACAAAGGAAAAAGATAAGACTTGAAAACTTTTGTTTATGAACTATCATGTCAGACTGCTTTTGTAAATCTCTAAGAATGTATTTTATGCAAGATCTGCCCTCCCTGTAAGAAATATGAAGTTTAAGAGATTTTTATTAATTTGTGTTTGAAAGTATTTCTTATTCAAGGAGGATTTTTTAGATGTTATATTTTCCTCAATAAAAATGGAGTAACGTTGAAAGTTTTATGATGTCTTTTATTAAAAAGGTGAAAACTGTCAATGATGTCAAGTCTGCATTTGTTCTGCAATAGCAAACTTTACACTGTGTTACAGCCCTGGGGTTTTCAGCAAATGGAAGGGAATAATTGGAGATATTTGAGAGGAGAATCAAGACTTCCATTAGTTTTGTGTCTGAGAAATGTGTAATATTCTACTTCTGCTTTTAACTACATCCTAGCATAATTTATGCTTGCTCCTGTTGAACTCTGAAAATTCAAAGCAACTAGGATGCTTGCAGCTGAATTTTAAGCCGTCAAAACTTTCCACATCTGTTGTGGAATGATGAGACAACAAAAGAAAACACCGTGAGTAATAAATCTTTACTGTGCCTGCTGTAACAAATGTTGGCAAGTTTGTTTATTTTCTTCATTTCTTGAAAGGCTGTTCCTTTCCCTTCAAACAGGAAATTACTGGATGATGTAATAGTGTTTCTAAACAGAAGAAGGAAAGGTACATGAAAGCGCCTGGATCCGAGAGTTGTGATAAAATAGGAAACGGATACCGAGGAAGTAAAGAAAACAGGTGTAAGGATTTCTAAATGGACTATGATTGTAAGAGGCCCTTACAATCTGCAATCATTTATGCATGTGTGAAGTTTATACTACAATATATAATGCTTTATGGGAGTGTGAAAGGAGTCAACACTGAGTGTGTATACTCTGTTACCTTCTGCAACAGCATGTAAGAAAAGACCACCTGTGAACACAGAGGAGTAACGGCATACTGGAGAAAATTATTTTTTATTCGGGCATCCTTGCTGCATCAGAACAGTTGTGCCATTTTAAGAGTGTGATACCTGACTAAGCACATATGCAGGAAACTCTGCTTGATATGGATCACTCCTCTAAAATCCTACACCTAATTCATTCCTACTGTGAGTTGTGAGTGTGAAAATACTTTTTTTTTTTTATAACATTAATGTGTACTTGTATATGCCTAAGATGCAATTATATGAGCTTCGGCAAGTACACTTATTTTAATTCCAAAAAGTTCAACTATGTGAGGTCAGACCTCCTAAATAAAACCACTCTGTATTAATTTGCTATACTGAGCTACCTACATTTGAATACAATTGAGATAGTGATATGTGCTTTTAAAATATCTCCAATTACTGCCTGGTTGAAGTCCCTCTGCATTATAGTATGTTGCAGACTAACGTGGAATAGCACAGAGTTTATATGGATGTGGCTGCAGTATTGCACCCAAAATGTACTCCAAATTGATTTCCCTTACTCCTTCAGGAAGCTGGAATGTGAATGCCCGAAGCAGGTTGGTAAAGAAGATGAACAGTTCAACACGTGCCATCTGTTCCCCCAAACATACACGGTGCCCTGCAGAAGAAAGGGAGAAAGAGTTAACTGTATAAAGCTAAGTTCTGAAAAAGAACTTCAAACAAAATTCTACTGAGTTCCATAAATTCTGTTAATGTAAGATAATTATTTTCCCTGGAGCATGTATGAGATTCTTCCTTTTCATTGTTGCTTCTTGTTCTGTGAGAACCATGAATTGCTTCTTGGTTGAGAGAAGGCCAGATGTTAAAAGGCGTCATATACTTCAGAGTCTTGTCTTTGGTTGTTGAGGAAGGAGGACTGGAGCATTGTGGGATTCAATTCCTAAGCAGAAGGATGCAATCAGCCTTTCTTCGATAGAAATTAAGGCGGCTACATTGGGTCCTTGTAGCCCAGTATCCTCTCTCTAACGCTCTCCAGGAGCAGGTGTGTAAGCTAAGGGAATGAAACGTGGGCATGTGCAGTGATTTATAGACTCAGTGTGACTCATTTTGACATACTGTTTTCACAGCGTATTTCAGGATATCTATATATTCCAGACTGAAAAGAAGATTCAGGATATATAAATGCTCAAACTATATAAACAGAAAACAACCAAAGCAAGTTAGAAAATAAAATTTCCCATACCTGGGTTGAAATGGTAGCCTAAATTAGTTGTCGATGCATGTAAGCTAGTGGACGGTTGGTGAGTAAAGGAGGTAAGATGTTAAGTACCTGGTTTGCACATGTGATTTTAGGATTTACAGGCAATTTTGGCAAATGGTTTTAAAATCTGGATTTACTGTTTAATCTGACTGCTTTGTACATTACTTAGTATACTATTCACTTTTATCTACAACAAATGTATAATAGTATAATCTGTCATAGTAACATAAAAAAACCTTAGCTGTTTTCCAGTGTTTTTATTGTTAAATTTTTAAATGTTAATTTTCAGTAAATAACACGAGCTGCCTGTTTTGTGCTACTTTTCTTCATAATCTGATTACTGGAGAAACTGGTAGTCTAGAGGAGCTCTCCAAGTTATGTTTTGTACTGCTTTTCACTCTTTTTTTTTTTTCTCCCATGTCTTTGTATCACTGCGTTTTGCATTGTAAATTAGGTAAGTTGTACATCGTAATATGCTTTTGAAAAGTTAGAAATTTTTTTGGTTGACTAATAATATTCTACTGAAAAGACTGGATTTTGCTAGTTTTCTGGAGATAAGAGAACCTGTTGCTAGACTATTACTGTAGGATTTGGGAGACTGAGGTTTGATTTCCTGCTTTATCACAGATTTTCTCTGTATATTTTGATAAATTATATTACTTTTGTCTTTGGGTTCCCTGTTTGTAAGGTGAGAATAAATTGATTTTCTGATTTGAGGGTGTTATCAGGAATTAATACATTAGGGACTAAGGAGCTCGGATACCCTTATAGTAGGAACCTTACATATACCACGGAGATAGCATTATGTCTCTTAGCCATACTCATCCTCTGTTTGAATGTATAAATAATATAAAATGCAAGACAATATTTGTGGCTCTTACAGTAGAACGCCTGACTTTAAATCTTTGTGTCAAATACATTTTTATAAAAGTATGTTTTTAAAATTTTAGAATTTAGAAATGGTGTTTTTAGTCTTGCTGCAAGGCAGAGTGAACAGGAATATTCAAACGTCAGGGCATTACCTGCTGAGAAAGGTAAGAATGCCTCTTTGTTCACAAAGTTGCCATCCAAATCAAGAAAATGGTTTGGGTTGAACTTCCAAGGGGTCGCCCAATGCTCAGAGTCATACACCACGGAGTGCAGATTTGGCAATACAAGCGTGCCCTGCAAGAAGCAGCAGAGATTATATTTTCCATGTATGATTGATTCTCTTTTTTGGACTTCCCTTCTCTCTAATAGGTAATATGCCATCCTGTGTCTGCAGCCCAGTGTTTGGATTTGACTTGGTCTTCTCCTGTGCACATCCAGGCATGACAAACCCTTGTATCTTCTGTTTGTCATAACGTGTTACGTGTTTGCCTTTGTGTAAGTTATCTTATGTCAGGACTACTGAAGTGTCTTCATGTCTAAGATAGAGTGGAGCTTGGCTTGTTTTACATACTTGCCAGACTAATCATAACACCTTCCTTTTTGGTTTTTTCGTACTCTTCATTGGATCTTTCAATTCCATCACATCACTTTTATGCTTAATGTATTTGGGACGTTTATATCATGCCAACGTGACTGTCAGATCTGTTGCTGTACTGAGCTGCCATCATCTTAAGCATGTGGTGTTTGTGTGTGTGTTGTCAGGGGTGACTATGGGTTGCTCCAGGCTGCTCCCTTATGGGTGAAAGTTAGCTGGCTTGACAATCATTAAACCTCATTTCTTCACTATGTTCTGCTTTGATGCCCAGACGTCATCTGTATTTGGCTAGTGGGAAGAAAGACTTCTGTTTTCCTTATGTTTGTTTGCTACTTGTGCTGTTAGCCTTTTCCCAAGCTTCCTTCTGCATCTGCTAATGTAGACTTAGCCCTGGTTCAGAACACTCAGCCTTGTTTTCATGTCTGTGACACGCTACAGCATGCCCTCTATGCAAAGTTAGGAACTGTAGAAACTAATGTCATATAAATACTAAATATTAATAGCTCAGAGCTTTAAGAAACATGGAGGTATACTTTGTACCTTTTTAATGTGAAAGCCCAGCAAAGTTGTATTCCTCACACATTGTCGAGGGACCCCAACAGAAGTAACGTTGCTGTACCGCAAAGCCTCATGAATCACAGCATTTGTATACGGCAGTTTTTTACGGTCTTCATAGCTGATGAGATGGGAGGGTTCCAGAACAGCCTCTATCTCTCTTTGGACCTTTTCTGCAGAAAAATGAAAATATTTTAACTTTTCCCCCCTTTTTTCCAGCAGATTTCTGTACGAGTATGGTCCAGGACTGGGGGGCGGGGGGGCGCGGGGGGGAAGAAATTATGTTGCTATGAAACGCGTTGGCATGTGGTTTGACTGCTGTGTTGGTTTCAGTTGATCGAGAAAGTGCGTATCCCCAAAGCACGCGATGATCTCTCATTTAAGACACGTCCCACTTGGTGATGAGGATAATACAGTTCTATGTTTCAAAAAAAGGATTAAAATTTGAAATTACAGGTGTAATTTCTGTTATGTTTATAAATACACATCAGATC